ATACCATTGTCTTGCTAAATTAAATAAGCCCCCCGTCTATATTAAGCCCCCCCCCCCTCATATTTGGAATAAATAAGCCCCCTGGGGGGCTTACTAGAGGATGTACGTTAGTTGTTAATAGAGCTTTGAATATTCTTTTTTTCTCTTACAGAAAGCAATGTAACGTTGGTGCCTCCTACTCCAAATCCACCCCTCCTACTGTCTTCAGAGTACTTCGAGTTTACTCTACAGTGGACAGAATATAGTCAGCTTTATAATGATTCGCCAGTTATTTTTGTGTTGGAGGTCAAGAGGCATGGAAATATTTCTGATCCAGCTTCTTTCTTACCAGTCATAAAGAAATATCACACGGTAAGCATTTGTTAGCTTCAGTATGCGTGGTCCTGAGGGGAGGAACTACTGAACAAAGTTTTCCGCCCCGAGGTCCAAGCCTATACCTTTTATATACCATCTTTGACAGAAAAAGTATCTCACTCGTATACGTACCTTTCACTGAAAAATGTTACTCCTTTAACATATTTACATACCTACTTAATACAAATAAATCGCTAAAACATGAAGTCTTCTTGTCATTTGATTTTCGTGTAACGTTTGAAAAATTAAAGTGATATAGCCATAAGGCACGTCTTGTCGAAACAATTCAATTAAAGAACGTTTTTTAATACTTAAAAAATATAGAAGTTCCCACCCTTTTATATCAAAATTCCCCACCCTTTGATATACTTGAAACCTGAAAAAAGGTACCCCTTTCGGGCGTAGCATAGGCTAATATAGGAAGTGTTCTAATTTAGAGCACTTCCTATATTGGTAAAGCATTTCCTATATTGGCCTATGAGCCGCTCTTCCTCTCGAGAGTGCCGGGCTGTACCCTTCGAGAAGAAACGTCTTTATGGGATATATACTGACGTGTAACAAGTTAACTGGTCGGGCAACCACCTCGTTTTCTATTGTGCATGCGTTGCAAGTTTCATCTAACGAGTAGTCATCACGTCATTTTTGCGTGTCATTCATAATGGCGTATTTTCAACCATCGCCCTCTCAGTCTGGTCATAGTAGAGAGGACCAGCAGTTCCCTCTTCTAATGATGGTCTGATTGCGTGAGCGCCGCAGAGAGAGTTTTGAGGAAGGTAAAGCAATACGAGTTTTCGCAGTAGTATGAGTGGGGACCTTATGATGGTCAAGTACAATTCAGTTTCGCTCACAACACCACTACAAAGTACCTATCGCCAGGCTTTATTTGAATGGTCAAGTCTCGGATATAAGCACCATTTGTGATCCACTTACAAAAACGCAGCATTTTTCGATTCCCTTGAATTTTATAGTCCCGGGGCCAGTTGTTCCAAAGGTGGATAGCGCTACCCACTGGATAAATCACTATCCAGTGGATAACGCAATTGGTCTTCGTACTACTTATCCGCTGGATAGGGGATTTATCCGGTGGATAGCGCTATCCGCGTTTTGAACAACCAGGGCCTGGACACGTTTTAAATGCAAAACGTAATGTTGCTATGCAGTACTTGTAAGCAAATCATTTAGAATTTTTTTTCTCGTGGATGATTAATGGTTTTCTTTTCTTCTTCTTCTTTCTCGTTTGTGTCGTGACTTCTTATTACTCCTTTTTTTTAAATAAGCGTCTCGATCTTATGGCGGGTGGAAGTTTTATGCTCTTTTCAGTATATTCGGTAAGTCTTAAGAAAGATGCTTCTTTTATTTCTTGCAGACGAATTTCACAACTTTCAAGATTCCCCAAGATTTTGTCACCAAGACAAATTTCTCTTTTCGTTTAGCAGCAATAGCACTTCAAGGCACCTCCAACTTCTCGTCGCCGAGTCCTCTTTATATAACAAATAGTAAGTTTCTTGCATATTTTTAGGGGGGAGGGGGGGCTAGTGTTGTTGTTTAATTTTTATTGTCATCAAAATCACCGTTGACCGTATATCTACTACAGGAGTTAAACTGTTAGAGACCTCATGCAAGATAAATAATAGAAAGTTAACTTCAACTTCTTTCAACTAGAAATATCTACAACTGGCCTGCAGTTAGTTAGCAAGGCTTGTCGAGACAGGCTAGGCTACATTATTTTACCCAAGCTGAATAAATACCAAACTTAGACATTATATTAATGTATATTTTATAATATACAAATACTATTCTGCCTTGGGGATTTAAAAAAAAAAGGGCAAGAGAATTACTCGTATCTTCGTCAATGTAGGAGTCTTCAGTTTGAAGGATATTAAGTAGCGTTCCTTTTAATTTTCTTCTAAAGGCTTTTTTGATCTCTTTTTGAATAATTTGAGGTATCCTTTTCAAAATTTTGACCCTAACATGGGAGAGAGCATTTTGTTTGACAAAAGAAAATATCCGTCCTCGTTCGTTTCCGTCGTTAATTTCGCATGAAATTATGGAAGTCGTAGTCGTGCAGTGGAGACCAAAAAAAAAATTAGCGAAAAGTGTGGTGCGTTGCAGACTTGTTGTTGTTGTTTTTGTTTGTTTGTTGTTTTTTATTTTTCTAGAACCAATTGAATTGATTTTTGACGTTACTTTACCTCCGTCGTCCTCGTGGTTAAGTGAACTCCCTAATATAACCTAATAACTTGTTTCCACCTCTTATATTAACGGCATTAGGGACCTTACGACCCGACAACGGCGACGTCCATGAAAACGTCGCTGAAAAACAGACTTCGCATCATTTTAAACTTTTTCGCGATTATCCTAATTCGCCCTGTTACGTGAAAGAAGGGAATTTTGGCTGGAGATGAAGAGAGGGGAACGCGCTCAAGTTCGGGCAGAGATGGTAGAATTTATCGCCTTGCCATTCCCCTTCCCAAGTAAACTTAAAATTTGGTCATTTCACGTCGTTGTTGTGCAGTGAAGGTAAAGAAATGTACGAAAAAGCGTGATGCCGTCGTCGTCATGGTTTCGTAAAGTCTCTATTCTCGCTCAAACCAGTGAAAACGATTTTCATGTAATAATGATCGCCTTTTTCTAGTTTAGTATTAGAAATATGGTCTTTCACTGTATATTTCTCGGGAAAAAGGCGATCATTATTACATCCAAACACGGCACAAGGATTTTTTTTCCCATTTACAATCTTATTCTAAGAAAACTTTAAGAAAAAATGTCCCTAAAAGCGCTCGAAAATACAGACGAAATGTGCTCATGCCCCCTGGGCATCCTATAGTGCTCCTTAAATCGAATTGATTCAATATGGCCGCCGTATCGGTAAAAAGGTCTATTATTTGCTCAAAAGCGACCTGACCTCTAATGTTAATGTCTCGTTACTGCAGCCTATAAAAACGTCTCAGTACAGTTTGTGTTCTGAAGTTTAGGTCCGTCTAATAAGACATGTCTTCTCCAAAGATGGCTGCCACTTTGCAGAGTAAAAGCAGTGGTCATTTTCCACGTATGCTGTGATCTTTAGTGTCTGTACAGTTGTGATTATGTAATCTCAGAGAACAATATTTAGCTTTTTATAATACACAGCATGCATTCTTTAAAAAGTATCCATTTTTCACTCTGTTTTCTTCGTATTTATCGAGCCTTTGGTTAAAAACGATTTAATGCTGTGTACTTATCATTGGTTTATTACTCCATCGCTCCATAATCAGACAACCTAGCTGATCTTTATAACAGATATATTTAGGCCGTAAATGTACAATTACAATGCTTTAGCACACTTTGTTTGTGCGAGGTCAATCGTTTTCTGTGAAGGCAGGCGCCCCCTCTTCCCTCGCGCGCCCCGTGCTCTCTTGCGCCCATTACTTCTACGCAGGCTACAGCGTTATTGACATTATTAATAAACTGAACCGGACAATCGCGACACAGCCCCTTTTAACTTGCGCGCTTTTTTTTCCAGGCACTTGTGAGAGTGGACTGGACTTTTTGAGTGGTCATCCTACTCCATGTCCGGTGTTCAATGTTCGTGTCATCTTCAACGTAACCGAGGTTCCATTCGGGGCTCCTCGAATTGCTGCTATTTTGTCTTGGGACTATCCTCCTGGTATGTACACAATCGTTGGTGGACAAAACACTGACCCCTAGTCCATGGAATACCCCCATGGACTACCCATGTGGACTACGCCGCTGAACTTTAGTGATTAGGGTTAGGAAACTGGGTGAATCAACCAATCTGGTTTCAGGTCAGTTTTCCAGGATGGAACATGATTCACGCAGTTTCTAAACCCTAATCACTAAACGTCAGCGGCGTAGTCCACATGGGTAGTCCATGGGGGTATTCCATGGACTAGGGGTCAGTGTTTTGTCCACCAACGTGATCGCAGTTTTTTTTTCGTACACATGTATATAAAAGCGACAGACTACAATGCTTTCAATAGGAGAATCCTTACTTACGTCATTGTTTCGTCATTAGCACGCTAGGTATTGAACCCTATAGAAAAGTTCGCCGTATATACAAATTAGGGTCAAAAGTTGAAAGAGCTGGTCAATTTGAGCAGTTTATGCAAGTGTCAGCTCTTTGCAATCAATAACAAAGGAAATAGCTGCAATCCAAAACTGCGAAATAAGCCTTATCACGGTTTTGGAAGCCATCTTGACAAGAAGGCAACGGCGTGAGAACTTCAGTGACAGTGTTTGTATGGAAATTTAATGTCCAACAATTTCCGTAAAACGTCTGTTCTAAAAAAAAAAAAATGAATTGTAAATTAAAGCTTCACTCCTAACGATTCTACTGAAAACGTTTGAGAACGTTACATGCAGCTACATGTGCTAGAACCACTATTTAAAATTTTCTGTACATTTGTCTGTAAAAATTTTTCTTCCTGCCGACTAAAATTTCCCGGAAAATCTAAAGCAAGCGTCTGGAGAAATTTAGGCACAGTAACGCTAGTAACGGTAACAGTAATTGCCCCCGGAGGGATTTCGCCCAGAAGGCGAAATCTCGAGGAGGCACTCTAGTAACTCGCGCGTATATTAAGGAAAGCACTTACGGTTGAAATCTACAGTCATACAGTTAATATAGAAAGGGAGGGCCGCGAGGAATCGGTAGGTAATGATGACGTTTCTATTGTTTGCGCCCGCAAGTACGAAATGGTTAGGATGACGTAAAGACAGAACATCCCCAAGGGACCGCTTAGGTAGATTTTGTGACATTTATTGTGCAGTCATACTTCGACACTCTTTTGCGTTACGTGTTATCAGTGACATTCTGTGGAGCAGTTGTTTCAGTGAAAGTTATGGACCAAAATTTTAACGACACTCGTTAAGCGCAGAAGAAGTTATAAGGTTCGTATAACTGTGCATATATATCACAAATCTTTCATTGGAAACCTTGCTAGACACTCTTTCTCTCTCTTTGACCGGAATAAGGCTCAGCTCCAAACAAGCAAGACGAGTGAACAACGGCTAGCTTCTCACTAGCAGAACGATGGACGATTACAGAAATTCGCCGACAATCAAATTCTGTGCTGACTTATTCCCTGCTCACAGATGTCCTTCCGCTATAAAGTTTAAAATAAGACTAGAATGCGCGAGCGTGAATCGATCAAACGTCCTTTAATTTCTAAGGCTTCCTTTTCGGCAAATAAAATGAACTGAATGTAAAAAGTGAAAAAGAAATAGCGAAAAATTACACTTCTAATTAAATCTTTTCTCACGGTTTAGAATAAAATACCGTAAAATTCCGAAAATAAGCCCCGGGGCTTATATTTTTCAAAGGCTCTTTTTGAGGGGCTTATTTTTGGAGGGGCTTATATTCGGAAGGGCTTATCTACGGAGGGAAATTTGCGTTACAAAATCGATTGGGCTAGCCTTATAGTTGGAAGTAAATTTACCGTTTTTGCTTTGTTTTACTTTGTATTTGAGGGCAATTTTCCAAGTACAAGCCACCGGAGGGCTTATATTTGGAGGGGCTATTTAACGGAGGGTTTTTTGCGTTACCGGATTGGGGGGCTTATATTTGGAGGGGCTTATACATGGAGGGGCTTATTTTCGGAATTTTACGGTATTCTCGAAACTGAGAATGTTTTGATCAAAGCTGTGTAAATCGACCTGAAACTGTGCATGGAACCTTGCGTTTCCTGTATTTATCTCACCTATTGTACGGAATATGTGTGAAAATCTTCCTTATGAATCGGTATATTTCAAAGAGCTACACAACGAGCAAGAATGCTGTTGACCGACAAGATACAGAGCGGGGGCAGCTGTAGTGTCAACTATTACTAGTTTGTTAGTAAATTCCTTTACTGTGTAGCTTTGGTTTACAATTCCTATTTTTTTCAGAACAGCCGTTTTACGGAAATTATAAAATAATATTAGTATGTGTAATCAAATGGTCATGAGTGAAAAAGGCTCAGGAAATTTTGAGGATTTGGAGAAAACGCAAGTGAAATTTTCCCTCACTTCACGAGTATACCATTTGATTACCTATTAATATCATGGGTGATGACGAATAACGCTAGGTTATTTTTCCTGGCTTTATCGTGTCGATCGAGAATTACACGCTCTCAAAAGTTAGAGCTTAAATTTGGCGTAAGTTCAGAATTTTTCGACAAAATACCTGTTAGAATCCTTCTTGATGTACTATTTCGTGTGTTAAGGTTTTCTAAAGCGTCTTTTAATGCCCTGACATCTTCGTCGCCATCTTGGAACTGAGCCGTACGGAAGGTTGCCCTGGCAATTTTGTAATTTCACTTGTGAAATTATAAATTAACGCTGAAATTTCGCGCCAAAATTAAGGAGTAATTCGTCATCTACGATATTAAACAATAAACTTTTCAGATGACTTTAATTTCTGTATCCCAATTTTTTGCCAATTTTATTGACCATACTACAGTGCAAAAGAATATTCTGATGATCGTAGGCAGTGTTTGACCTGTTGTGACTTACATGTACTTTACTTAGAGGTTTAGCCATGTAAATGTAAAAAATACAATACAACGCTCTTGCATTTTTGAGGAAAAATGAAATAGTAACGAATTGTAAAGTGGGAGGATAAACAATAACACTGATAAGGACAGCTGCTGATATTGATATTGATAAAAGTGTTTGATTTTGATTTCTCAATCTAACAGGCCCATCAGGTTTTGCACCCCCTTACCACTACCACTCACTACCCACCCGACCCCTTCCCACCGTACGCACTCCCCTAATTTGCAATTATTACTAGTATTAGTTAATAAACAGCTTAAACTACTTGCAACTAACTTCATTATCAAGTTTGAAAAAATAAGTGTCTGTTGCAAAATATAAATACTTAAAAACAACTAAAACCAGTGTAAACTGTAATTAGGCAACCCCAAAGAACACGCGTTCTTTTACAAGTGCCAGACAAAGTTTTCAATGCCTCATTCATGAGATGCTCCCCATAGAAGAAATCAATCCGACACCCAGGCCGATCCCATTCGCAAAAAAAAAACCTTTGTTTGAACTAACAGACACTTGTTGTTGGACTTGATAATGACTTTGGTTGAACATCGAAACGTCGTCGTTTCAAACTATTTTTTAGCTTTTTATCATAAGGAACATTAGCGCAGTATTTTATATTCTGATGTTTTACGAAATCGCTTCTTATCCAATTTCAAACATGTTTGTTTTAATTGTTTGTTTCCACAGACGCACACGTACGCTTGACCAAAACCGGCGGCCTGAGCATTGAAGTTTCACTGTCTAATGTCGCGAATATTCCTGCCGAGCTCCGCAACGCATGCCAAGAACCTGGAAATCTCGGCCCTACAACTAGCCATATCGATGTCAGCACTCCGGTAATTCTCCAATTCAGAACCTTATGAGAAGCGTACCGATCTTTTAATTAATTCAAATGCCGTAAACTGCCGCTTAGTACCCCTGGGCTTGTACATCTTCGTAAGGGGCTTTATGAGGGCGTATGGACGGAGGGGCTCATTTATATCCGAGGGGGGCTTAATTAACTGGAATAAAAAAGGCATTTCCATCGAATACATTTCGATCCTTTTGGAGGGGGCTTATATCCGGGGGAATTTAATCGGGGAGCAAGGGTGGCGCAAGAGCGCAGAGCACTCGCCTCCCATTGGTGTGCCGCGGGTTCAATTCCCAGCGTCGACGCCATACGTGGACTAAGTCTGTTGTTGGGTCGCTACTTTGCTCCGAGAGGTTCTCCGGTTTTCCCCTCTCCTCAAAAACCAACCTTTCCAAATTCCAATTCGACTAGGAATCAGGTAGACCAAGAAACACTCAGTGTATGTGCTACCTCCAAATTGTTTATTATTTGTTATTTGTTTCCTGGGGGAAGGGGTGGGGGGGCGGCTTAAAAGTCCTAACTCAAGATATCCGCCATCTTTGCGCGCTCTTAAGAACTGATGGGATAAAAGTAATGTCGCGTGTTTTCTCAGGAGACAAACAAGTGATAAAATTTGCCAATTCAAGAAATCGCGGTTGAGTTTTTTTTATTCTAGACAACAGAAAATGAAGAACTGACAAAATTACGATAACGGCAAGTTATGGGTGGAAGTGATCATTGTTACTTTTTGGAGGCAGTAGCGACGGTAGTTATCCTCACAGTAAGCAATAATGGCGTGAAACTTGGTGAAGCTCGCGCTGTACATTTTGCATGACTATTAAATCGTCGTCTCGTTTTGAGAGAATAAACAAACTCGGCTATTTGCAGGATGAGGTCTTTTTACTACTGAGACCAGAATTCATTTCGTTTTTTCTTTCATATTTAAATTTGGTAATCCCAGTGAGGTTTAAATAACAAACGCAATAATTTCTACAAGAAAGCAAAACCCTGAAGGATTCTGATAGTTGTAGTAGTAAAAATGACGCCATCGTGCAAAAGGCCTATTGGCAAATCTCATCACTTGTTTGCCCCCTGAAATACCACTTGACATTGCTTTTATCCCATCAGTCCTAAAGCATGTGCAAAGATGGCGGGTGTCGTGAATAAGGAGTATCATTAAAAACTGAATCATTGGATAATGCAATTGTAGACCTCTGATTGGCTTAGCCATCATGGTATATGAGCTATTATACCCTGCTCTCAAAATATGGTGACTGTACGCGTCTGCTCAAAATTAATCGGTTGTTTTTACAAATAAAGTCGGGAAGAATTCTCGATGTTTTGTGGGCGTTTTTTATAAAACAATTATTCCACTTGCGCTTTTTGGCTATAAGATGATTATAGCCAACTCGGCGCTACGCGCCTCGTTGGAATAATTTTTAATTAGATCCCACGTGCCAATCTACTACATAGGTTCTCAATGCACGGGTAGACATTGCTTCTCGAAAATTCCCTTTCCTTTTATCCATTTTTTATTAGCTACTCTTCGCTGTTTGTAATACCCTTATTGTTGCTGTTCTTTATATTTGCCTAGCGGTCAAGTGAAACTTTGGTTCTCCAACCGCAAAGAAGGCTCTACTTTGGATGTCCCTATGACCTCAAGGTAAGTCCATAATAAAAACCAGGCAGGGTTAGGAAAGGCTTCATAATGCTCAAATCACCGATTTTGCTTAAACTAGGCGTAAATGGTTGTTATCACGAATAATACTTGTGACAATACATGTGACAAAATATATACAGGTCAGGATATTTTATCCCCTGGGAGATACGCCCATCTCCCCTCCCCACAGAAACCTCATCTGCTAATACATGTGACACAATAGAAGGTCAGGATATTTTTTATTCCATGGCAAATAAGTCCATCTCCGCTCCCTACCAAACGCTTACTACCACCACCGTAAAAATTTCCGAAAGTCCTGTTTTGAGAGTAATTAATTGGCAAGCTTTGCTATGTCAGTGCGGCAAACAGTAAATTCCCGCGGCAACGCCAGCTCCTAATGGAACTTTCGAGCTTTCTCTCCGCCTCCACGTCTCCAGTTTAACCACAGCCTTATGTGTTTTTCGTTGTAGCAGTTTTTCTCGTGCCCCACGTTTGCTTAAGTTACCATCAAATACTTGTGATTTTTGTCAAAGTTATATTTGGAACAAATGAACGTTAGCTATTGGCAATATTTACGCCAGATATTAACTCGAGAAGGTTGGGACCTTACGGCTTCAGTGTTGGGACAAATAAACGTTAAGCCCCGTGCAAACATTGACGCAACATTGTTGGCCAACAACTCTCAACATTGTTGGGTGTTACATGTTGCGTCCGTTTGCACACGCTGTTGCATGTTGTTGGATGTTGTTGCGTGTTGTTGCGCAAAGTTTGAAACCGGTCAAACTTTTCAGCCAACAACTCCCAACATTTCTTTTGTTCCGTGATCGCCGAAGCGTAGCGCAACAATGTTGGATCCGTTTGCACTGTTCTTCCAACATTGTTGGGGCCGCGCACGCACATTACGCATGCTTTACAAAGACTTCTGGGTTGTGTCCTTCCCACGATGCACTGCAGGTCCCAACATTGTTGGGAGTTGTTGCATCCGTTTGCACACCACTGCCAACACGCACGCAACAACTCGCAACATTGTTGGCGCGACAATGTTGGGAGTTGTTGCGTCCGTTTGCACGCAGCCTTAGCTAGCGGCAATATTTACGCCAGATATTTACGCGAGAATATTGGAACCATGCGGCTTCAGTGTTCGCTCCACGCATAGTAGCCCGCGTAGTTGGCGGGGTTGTTCCGCGCGCGGTAATTTCATGGCGACAGCCGCGAGAGAGATTTGAATTAGTGACTTTTTACCAATCTTCCAGCGGCTCCGCCATCAAAAAGCTACAGCACACGATCTCTAATCCCGCTGGTTAAGCAGACTAGATTGTCTTTGGGTTCTTTTTCGTCCCACAAGAACCACAAGACCCTGAGTGTTAGTCCGGCCAGGCTTTGAACCCGCGACCTCCGGCTCAGCAGGCCGGCGCTCTCGTAACTGAGCTAACAAGGCGGCGGTCAAGACTCATGAATTTTTTCATCTACAGATTACTAGTGGGTTCGCTGTCAATTTTGAGACTCTGGCAACTTTCTTCGTCCCGCGTAAGTATGTCCTGACATTCTCCGCCATTTTCTAATAGCTGGTAATTTTATACGGTTATTCTTCTGTTTATTCGAATTCAACCGTACACAGCCTGAGAAACAGTCGACATTTCGCGACGCCACCACGATTTCCCCCCGAAGTGACGTCTGAGAAACGAGCGCAAAAATTCCATACTGATGACGTGTCACAACCCAGATCTGGGTAGTGTTCTTTCTTTTGACTCATCTTGCTGCGAGGGAAATTTGCTTCAACCAATCAGGCTACCGTAAACAGTGAAGAAAAAAAACGGAACCATTTATCTTCCATTCCTATTTTTTTTCACAGACTGCATTAGTGGATTTTGCGGATGCGACGCTTGTAAGTCGAACAACACTATTTATATTAAATGAGAATTCAGGATTTTTGTTTAATCATGATACACTTCACTATACAACCCCATCAGCAACACTGGTAAGTGTCCGTTAAAGAGACTGAGGTGGCTGTAAAAGGAAGGCAAAGATATGCAATAGGACAAACTAGGGCGGGAATATAAAACTTAGTCTAGTTTGAAAAGTGTCTAGTATCAAATGTCCTCTAATAAGCAGTTTAAAAATAAAACTTTTGTAAAATACGCAACTTAATCCCCGTCCCCACTAATACGTTTTCAACAGTACCGTATTTTTCAATCAAACGCCTCGGCGTTTATTAAACTTTTCGTGATTCGAGTGCGGCGTTTATAAGAGGGCGGCGTTCATTTAAAATCCATCTTGTTTCTGGTGAGGAAGCTTAGTGAAAGAACATCGAAGTATACTCACTTCGAACTAAAAAACATTGTTATCAATAAAAGCAAATTTCCAAGGCTCGATTAAGCTGAACTACCGTGTATACTCCTTTGAGCTTCAAATGTACTGATCTTAAAACGTTGTTTCAATCAAAGAAAATAAATGTTTTAGGCTTGCTCAAACTTGATTATTACTGCATTTGCTTTTTGAGTCTATTATTGAAAGAAACGCCACAGCATGACGCGGCGTTTATTCGAGGGCGGTGTTTATTGATTTTTCTGCTATAAAACGCGGCGTTTATTCGAGGGCGGCGTTTAATCGAATAAATACGGTATGTGGTTTAGATGTCATCGGAAACGCATCGATCGATTCGCGTCCACACTACCGTTTGATGCGTTTTCCACCGTCCACACTAAACGTTCGGAAACGATAGAATTGAACGTTGTGATCTAAGATTTAGCTCTTAAATCGGTTCTTATTTTCTGGAGAAAAAATTATTTAGTGGTATTCAGCTTGGGTAAAACCTGTATACCATTACAATTGCCGTCTCCAAAGAGGACCCTGAATGTTGACTTATCTTGTTTGCCCAAGTATACAGATTTTTTTTATATATAGGTTTTCGAAAATAATAACCTGCTTCATTTTGTGTAGAGGGGACCTAACTGGCAAACTTTAGCCTAACAGGTTAAGGGACACAGTCAGCTGATGCACATGCGCACTAGATACCATTTCTTGGCTGATTTGCATGTCAAGACACGCGCGTGAAAAAGAATATGAGAAGCTTATATATCCGGAATACTCTAAACAAACCCCTTGAAGAGTTGAACTAGTTACAAGCCGAAATTGTGATTATAGACCCAAGGCCATATCAGAGCACTCATTTTTTCATATACCATTGAGAATTCACCGATGGATTTGTCCAGGGAAAGCCAAACATCGACGAATACTTCCGAATTCGAACATCAGTAGAGATGAAAAATGACACGAACTCTGAATCATTGTGGACGGTTTAAGGTCGAGAAAGCTTGATTTTCCAAATATATGTAACCTTTCCTGGTAACCTTTTCTGCCAATTTTCAAATTAAATGTATCGATTATTTGCTCGCCAATGTTGCTGATTCATCTCTGTTATTATTTTGGGAAACGAAGGCGATTTCTCCCGCCTGGGGCCTAGACGCGTTTCTCACCCTCTTCTGTTCATGTTTCTGTGGATACTGTTTTTCACCAAATTAATATGATAGAATAATGTAATTGGATGTGTAAAAGTTTGCTCAAAAAGAGGTTTTCAGAAAAAGATCGACAATTGAATGAAACACTAGGCAAGACTGAAGCGGATTTCTAGGTATATTCGACGCGTACAGTTGATTTCGGGTTGAGGTAAACGCTTTTCAAACTGGCAAAAGTAGTGTCCAGGTCAGCGCGGTCCCATAGGTGACTGTGTCCCTTTTTAAAACCCAGGTTCTTAGTCGCGGGTTTTTACTGTGAATAAATAACACAGAAAACAAACGTACGGGACAAAAATATTAACAGAACTAAAACCAGTACTAGCTTTACATTGCAGTGAGTACACCATATCCAGCCTAGTCCCAAGGCGTTCTCGGCGCGGTCAATCCTGGACTCTACCGCGAGCTGTGACGTCACCGACAACGGACTAAAAGAGAACGACTAAGGACTAGGCTACATCATATCGTCGTTTTACAATCTTGGTGTGATTCTGAATTGATGTAGTCTGAGAAAACAGCCGGAATTTTGCGACGCCACCACTGGTTTCCCCTGCGAAATGACGTCTGAGAAACGAGCGCAGAAATTCCGTACTGATGACGCGTCACTACCCAGATCTGGGTAGGGCTTCTGATTGGTCGTGCTGCGTGGGAAATTTGATTCAACCAATCATAAGCACTTCCCAGATCCGGGTAGTGACGCGCGAGGAAACCAGTGGTGCTGGGGTTGCGAAATGTCGGCTGTTTTGTCAAGCGAGATTTGATGCTGTTTAAATGTAACAAAAGAGAAAATTCCCTCATTTATTTTCAAGGGCAACAAAATACACTGAAAACAGGCTCAGAATATGTTGACGTTGATATTCGCAAAAACAATCAGTCCGTTAACTTGACAACTGTTAATGCTACCTGGAATAACGAGGCGTGGGGCAAGAAAAGGCCGACATTTTTCAAGTAAGTTGATAAAATGTAAGTACTGACTTGAAACGGGAAGCTTAACAACCCTGTAGCGAAATGTACTGTGAGACCTATAATTAGGGGAATCAGTATGATTCTTATTGGCAGACTAAGATCGCCTTTGTATGCATGGTACGGGGAACTTCTACAAATTCTAGAAAATTCTAGAAAATTCTGTTCTAGAAATTGACCACGGCGACTGTCGACCACGGCTCAAATCTGAATTAATTTTCACGCCTACTTTTGCGGAACGTGCTCGTTTTAATACATGTGTTTTTCACCCTGGGGAGGGAGGAGTACTCAACAAGGTTTTATACGGGGAGGCTCTGCCCCGAGGTCCAGCCCAAGTTTTGTTTTCCTCGACGGCCTTGGGACGACCACGATTGCCAGGCTAATGAGGGTCAACTTGTTTCGGTCAATTTCTGATTAGGCTGAGGTTCGTTGTTTTTCCTAGTGATGACGAGCTGATTTTCCTTTTGCTGTTTGAAACAATGATTTCTCAAGCCTTTAAGTAAGTTTTGAGACCCCCAAAACCTTTCAACGTTTCAAATTTTCCTTTTTTAAAGCACCTCAGCCGCAGTTTTCTCATGTTTGTTTGTCTTCTTGGTGAGAAGTGACCCGCATTAGCCTCGCTTTCGCGCAAAGACAAGCGCTCCTCCTAGGCCCCCGGGAATACGAAACTCGTCTATTCTGATTGCTGATGCTTGTTTTCTTATATACTAGATTGGTAATGCAGGAATGTCCTGGTGGTCTCTGTCCCGCACTACAAGGATATCAGATTAAGGATCATCTTGCCGATCCATTGGTAAGGGGTTTTTCTTGTTTTAAAAAAACGGATACTTCACTTTTTCCCCAATAAGCAGGTCATTTGTTATTAGCAAATTCTTCCTTAAACCATTCTGTGGTCTCTTGAAGAAGCTGTGTGTTACGAATTGTATCAAAATTCTAACACTAGGAACTTCCACCAAACTTAGTGAAACATGAAAATAATCGCTCAAAACATTTTAACAAGGTATTGATAACACAACAAATACAGAAGTTGGTTTGGATGGACAAACTCAGTGTTGAAGAATATAGACTACGAGCAGTCTCTCTTTTTTCTTGGTCCGTCGAGCAAAACACCCGAGACACGCAAAGGACCACGCGCGTGACTGGAGACGCGAGACGGGAGAGGCGTCTCGCCGCTTCGCCGTTCTTCGCGAGCGCGCGTGCACTCCCCATACTAAATCTGAAGAAAAGGAGAGACCGCTCGCAGTCTATGAAGAAAACGGATTGAAATGGGTTTTTGAAAACTTGTTAGCCTAAAAGTTTTTCAAAGTTCATTTTTTGTTGTTTGTAACGTTCGATTCAATGCTTGGGAAGTATATTTGTTCGACAAAAAGTTGTGATTTTGTCGTTTAAGTTACACAGCCCCTGTAAGGCCGGTAAACTAAAGCCCCATTAATTCACGCCAAAACTTAAACATGTTTAAAAGCTGTTTAGTTCAACATAGTTTAAAATCACTGATTTAAGGTGGCTCGATGGGGTTTTTCAAGGTCAATACCTCACAAGTTTGACCAAAAAAATAAGGGCTACAATTCGCCAATTTTTTGTCGGAAATTTCGTGTTTACAAGTGGGAGCCTCTCATTATTAAGGGGTATTGTCTCCAAGTTTCATATTTTCGTGGACAACAATATCTAAAATTTCTGCATATTTCAAATGCATTGCTAGTTACTGCTGTTCACGTGAACATGAAACTTGTAGACAATGCCCCTGAATAATGAGAGGCTCTCACTTGTAAACACGAAATTTTTCCGACAAAAACTTTGCGAATATTAGCCTTATTTTACTGCCTTACAAGATATCCATTATCTTGAAACTCAAAGGTCATATAAAAAGACGGTTAATCTCGAGAATCTCAAATTTTAAAAGAAATCTATCGAGCAGTTTAAGTAGACCGAAATGTTTACAAAACCGCTAACAAGAGCGCCTCGATACGTACTAATCAAATCCTTCTTTTTAGCAATCGGCTCAAACTTTCTTTATGATCTTTCAAAGACGTTTTTAAAAAGAGGCTATGAGGTGAAATTGCAGTTTAAAACCGCGTCGCTTATTTGACGAGAAAAAAAACCGTATTTCCTTTTGTTTTTATTCCCGTGTAGAAATTTCCCGATTGCCAGTCCGGGGGGAAATTCTCCTGAAAAAGTGGACCACCTTCAGAGGTGGTCCCCTTTAACCGGTCGGTCCCCGACCAAAATTGGCTGTTCCATTTTCAAACATTTTCGTTTGCTAAGAAATACTCAAAATTTCGAGAGAAACGTGAATGTCTTTCTCTCCAAACTAGCGATTGTGAACCAAACGGAATATAATCAATATGAACTAAAGGAATGTGACAGTTTGTCACATGTCTTAAACGTGTAAACTAATCATTACTTGGTAGAGGTAAACACTTCTAAAACTGTGTAGCCTGTGAGTAAGTTGTCGACTTGGGGCAGTCTGAGTGGGTGATTGGGTATTTTCTCTCTACTTTGAGAGCTTTCTTGGAGAATTGCAATTGTAGTTGAAGGTAGTTTCTAGCAAAACAAGTAGAGCTAAACAGGTTTTTTTATCAGGAGCCCATAATGAGGAGTGAGCAACTCCCAAAATAGGTCGTTTTCACTTAGCGGTTTATTTTTAGATACATTGTAGAGCACTTTTTCCGGTGTAAATAAAAAGTTCCGCTCCTTCAATGAGGGCATTCGAAGAATAAGATGTCAAAAAGAAGAACTAGGTCTCTAGGTTTCGCTGACTGGATTGTAGGACAAACATAATATTCTAAGTTCGCGCCAGAATCGATCTGAAGATAAAACGCCGTGACTCGAGTACGTAGAAGTTGCTTGCTCCAGGTTATGGGATGCTGGTTTTCATGTGGTATATGAACTCAACAGCCAAAATTGGAACGCCTTTTTTTAATTCATTTTTCGCAGAGAACCGTCCAAAGCTTTGTTTTCCAAAATCTGACAGAGGGAGAATGGCATCACTTTATCGTAAGTATTGTACGCAAGAAAGCTCTTAAAACTAACGATGCCCGGTGAAACACTTACCCGACGGATTTTTCTTTCATTAATGTGGCTAGTTTGTTGGTAGTCGCTAAACAAGTGTCCTTCATCAATGTTTTGATCAAAACAGTCCACTCTCCATGAGCGACCACCTCTTGTAAGGGACCAACTCCCATAAGCGGCCACCTATACAAAATGTTCACCAAAATTTTCTCACCCAAAGCCCGATAATTAGAACTTCTCGTAATCGACCACCTCTCATAAGCGAGCGCGATCACTTTTTCTTTGACGCCTTTTTTAGTTTTCCATTGTTTTTAACCTCTTAATTGTAAGCGACCATTTGACGCATGTTGTGGTCTCTCTGTTCGGTATACGAAGAAGTTTAACTTTCACTAACAACATGAGACTACACGTATGCACAACTTAGAAACTGCATGAAATGAATTCACTGCCAAAAAGTAGATGTGCTGGTACCTCCTCTCGGAAGAGACTCCCTGTGTGGCGATTCTTGTAAGTGATCACTTCCCGTAAGCGACCAGTAAACCTCCGCATTTTGGGTGGTCGGTTGCAGCAGGTTCGACTGTAGTCGACCCTCCTATTTCCATCCTACCATGACTAGACAAAGTTCCCGTAGCCTCATTCTTCCGGCAGGTAGCTATGAATGTCTCCCCCGGGATAAAAGCAATGGTCGGAGGGGGGGCGGGGGCGGGGGCGGGCTCATAAAAAGATGCACCTTTTACAAGGAAAGAGCGCCGAATTGTCTCATCACCTCCATGTCTTTTTGTAGATTTACGCCTACGATAAAAGTGGTTGCCTACTGTTACCTGTAGAAGGGGAGCGTTTTCAAGGTAAATTGTAGAAAATCTTCGAAACTTAGGTCCCGTTTAAATGGAGAAAACTCGTTCTCCGGGAGAAGAAGGGTCACCGTCCTAACCGAGTCAACTTTAAAGAGCGCTTATATGAGAAAAAAAGTTGACCCCGTTGCCCGAGCGAACAGCGCTCGCGCATGCTCTGATTGTCTCGCCTTCACTGAGTTGACCCATCGCTGGGTGAGCCAAAGTGTTTATATGGAGAAAAGTTGGCCCGACTAGGAATGCGACTCTACCATCGCAAAATATTGACCCGGGTCACTCTACTAGCCGAGCCAATCTTTTGTTTCTTATGCATGTAAACGGTTCGTCGTGTTTTGTAAGGAAATGTATGAAAAGGTGGCTGGCTCAGGATAGCTTTGGTAGGCGGGCGTCCCTTCCACTCGGGACAACTTTTATCCATATAAACGGGTCCTAAGTAATCATGATCAAACCTCAACGCGCGAGGAGACGCGAGAACACGAGGCATCAGTGGAGAGAAGAAAAACTACAGAAGAAGCGCCATTTCGCCAATTCCACCCTCACCGCCCCCTCGCCCCCAGATAGTTCACAGTTCCCTATTTTTCGTAAGATCGTCAAGATCGAGGGTTTACCAGCACAAACGGCTATCTAAATTTCATATGTACCGAGGGGCCGTTGGTCGGGGCTTATAATCGTTCCCCGCCCCCTAATTAGATTTGGCACTCATCCAAGATGGCCGCCTGTGACGTAAAGCGCTCGATCTCGACGATCTTATGGAACAGGGGGCTGTGCACGGGCTAACCCCTTTTCCGCCACCTTTTGCCAAAATTTACCTATATAAAAAAGAAATCCGAGCAAGAAGCAATATATAATCAACACAATTAGAATTTTCAACCGTTTTGTTTTTAAAATTGATCACACTGTGTGAATAATATTAAAGCACAAACAATGACAAAGAGAGAGTTAAGAAACCTTTAGAGTTGCACTCAAAATACAACAAAACTAAACTGTTATTGTCGGCGATAGAAAGACTATAACGGAGAAGGCTATTTCGCCACAGTACTGTGACTAAACAATTCTCTTTCACAGACAGCTCAAAACGACTTTTATCTTTGCCCAAAGATTTACAATCAGCCTTGTTTACTTTTTCTTCGGTAAATTCAAGCTTTTGGTTTCATGTATGTTGTTTGTAAATACTCTTAAATCGATCTTTCGTATTTTTTCCTTCATCAGCTTTTCCTACAAAAGTGCCTAATACCGCCAAACCGAGTACAACGCCATCGCCTGGTACAACGTCATCACCTGATACAACGCCATCACGAGATACACCGCCACCACCAGGTACCAAAGTAGATTAGGGACCTTACAAATTGGTACTGTTCTTATCAGACCTATAAAAGCTTTGCCACCGGTCTTATCAGACTTACCAAAGTCTTAGCACTGGTCTTATCAGGCCTTTCAAAGTCTTGCCACTGGTCTTATCAGATCAGACCTATCTTTAGCTATCTTTAACATCTCTTCTCATTTTTCAAACAGTTTCATCAACTGCTGAAGCAAGCATTTCATCCACGACCATAGCAGCCATTACCGTACCAATCGTCTCAAAGGTCATATAAAAAGACGGTTAATCTCGAGAATCTCAAATTTTAAAAGAAATCTATCGAGCAGTTTAAGTAGACCGAAATGTTTACAAAACCGCTAACAAGAGCGCCTCGATACGTACTAATCAAATCCTTCTTTTTAGCAATCGGCTCAAACTTTCTTTATGATCTTTCAAAGACGTTTTTAAAAAGAGGCTATGAGGTGAAATTGCAGTTTAAAACCGCGTCGCTTATTTGACGAGAAAAAAAACCGTATTTCCTTTTGTTTTTATTCCCGTGTAGAAATTTCCCGATTGCCAGTCCGGGGGGAAATTCTCCTGAAAAAGTGGACCACCTTCAGAGGTGGTCCCCTTTAACCGGTCGGTCCCCGACCAAAATTGGCTGTTCCATTTTCAAACATTTTCGTTTGCTAAGAAATACTCAAAATTTCGAGAGAAACGTGAATGTCTTTCTCTCCAAACTAGCGATTGTGAACCAAACGGAATATAATCAATATGAACTAAAGGAATGTGACAGTTTGTCACATGTCTTAAACGTGTAAACTAATCATTACTTGGTAGAGGTAAACACTTCTAAAACTGTGTAGCCTGTGAGTAAGTTGTCGACTTGGGGCAGTCTGAGTGGGTGATTGGGTATTTTCTCTCTACTTTGAGAGCTTTCTTGGAGAATTGCAATTGTAGTTGAAGGTAGTTTCTAGCAAAACAAGTAGAGCTAAACAGGTTTTTTTATCAGGAGCCCATAATGAGGAGTGAGCAACTCCCAAAATAGGTCGTTTTCACTTAGCGGTTTATTTTTAGATACATTGTAGAGCACTTTTTCCGGTGTAAATAAAAAGTTCCGCTCCTTCAATGAGGGCATTCGAAGAATAAGATGTCAAAAAGAAGAACTAGGTCTCTAGGTTTCGCTGACTGGATTGTAGGACAAACATAATATTCTAAGTTCGCGCCAGAATCGATCTGAAGATAAAACGCCGTGACTCGAGTACGTAGAAGTTGCTTGCTCCAGGTTATGGGATGCTGGTTTTCATGTGGTATATGAACTCAACAGCCAAAATTGGAACGCCTTTTTTTAATTCATTTTTCGCAGAGAACCGTCCAAAGCTTTGTTTTCCAAAATCTGACAGAGGGAGAATGGCATCACTTTATCGTAAGTATTGTACGCAAGAAAGCTCTTAAAACTAACGATGCCCGGTGAAACACTTACCCGACGGATTTTTCTTTCATTAATGTGGCTAGTTTGTTGGTAGTCGCTAAACAAGTGTCCTTCATCAATGTTTTGATCAAAACAGTCCACTCTCCATGAGCGACCACCTCTTGTAAGGGACCAACTCCCATAAGCGGCCACCTATACAAAATGTTCACCAAAATTTTCTCACCCAAAGCCCGATAATTAGAACTTCTCGTAATCGACCACCTCTCATAAGCGAGCGCGATCACTTTTTCTTTGACGCCTTTTTTAGTTTTCCATTGTTTTTAACCTCTTAATTGTAAGCGACCATTTGACGCATGTTGTGGTCTCTCTGTTCGGTATACGAAGAAGTTTAACTTTCACTAACAACATGAGACTACACGTATGCACAACTTAGAAACTGCATGAAATGAATTCACTGCCAAAAAGTAGATGTGCTGGTACCTCCTCTCGGAAGAGACTCCCTGTGTGGCGATTCTTGTAAGTGATCACTTCCCGTAAGCGACCAGTAAACCTCCGCATTTTGGGTGGTCGGTTGCAGCAGGTTCGACTGTAGTCGACCCTCCTATTTCCATCCTACCATGACTAGACAAAGTTCCCGTAGCCTCATTCTTCCGGCAGGTAGCTATGAATGTCTCCCCCGGGATAAAAGCAATGGTCGGAGGGGGGGGGGGGGCGGGGGCGGGCTCATAAAAAGATGCACCTTTTACAAGGAAAGAGCGCCGAATTGTCTCATCACCTCCATGTCTTTTTGTAGATTTACGCCTACGATAAAAGTGGTTGCCTACTGTTACCTGTAGAAGGGGAGCGTTTTCAAGGTAAATTGTAGAAAATCTTCGAAACTTAGGTCCCGTTTAAATGGAGAAAACTCGTTCTCCGGGAGAAGAAGGGTCACCGTCCTAACCGAGTCAACTTTAAAGAGCGCTTATATGAGAAAAAAAGTTGACCCCGTTGCCCGAGCGAACAGCGCTCGCGCATGCTCTGATTGTCTCGCCTTCACTGAGTTGACCCATCGCTGGGTGAGCCAAAGTGTTTATATGGAGAAAAGTTGGCCCGACTAGGAATGCGACTCTACCATCGCAAAATATTGACCCGGGTCACTCTACTAGCCGAGCCAATCTTTTGTTTCTTATGCATGTAAACGGTTCGTCGTGTTTTGTAAGGAAATGTATGAAAAGGTGGCTGGCTCAGGATAGCTTTGGTAGGCGGGCGTCCCTTCCACTCGGGACAACTTTTATCCATATAAACGGGTCCTAAGTAATCATGATCAAACCTCAACGCGCGAGGAGACGCGAGAACACGAGGCATCAGTGGAGAGAAGAAAAACTACAGAAGAAGCGCCATTTCGCCAATTCCACCCTCACCGCCCCCTCGCCCCCAGATAGTTCACAGTTCCCTATTTTTCGTAAGATCGTCAAGATCGAGGGTTTACCAGCACAAACGGCTATCTAAATTTCATATGTACCGAGGGGCCGTTGGTCGGGGCTTATAATCGTTCCCCGCCCCCTAATTAGATTTGGCACTCATCCAAGATGGCCGCCTGTGACGTAAAGCGCTCGATCTCGACGATCTTATGGAACAGGGGGCTGTGCACGGGCTAACCCCTTTTCCGCCACCTTTTGCCAAAATTTACCTATATAAAAAAGAAATCCGAGCAAGAAGCAATATATAATCAACACAATTAGAATTTTCAACCGTTTTGTTTTTAAAATTGATCACACTGTGTGAATAATATTAAAGCACAAACAATGACAAAGAGAGAGTTAAGAAACCTTTAGAGTTGCACTCAAAATACAACAAAACTAAACTGTTATTGTCGGCGATAGAAAGACTATAACGGAGAAGGCTATTTCGCCACAGTACTGTGACTAAACAATTCTCTTTCACAGACAGCTCAAAACGACTTTTATCTTTGCCCAAAGATTTACAATCAGCCTTGTTTACTTTTTCTTCGGTAAATTCAAGCTTTTGGTTTCATGTATGTTGTTTGTAAATACTCTTAAATCGATCTTTCGTATTTTTTCCTTCATCAGCTTTTCCTACAAAAGTGCCTAATACCGCCAAACCGAGTACAACGCCATCGCCTGGTACAACGTCATCACCTGATACAACGCCATCACGAGATACACCGCCACCACCAGGTACCAAAGTAGATTAGGGACCTTACAAATTGGTACTGTTCTTATCAGACCTATAAAAGCTTTGCCACCGGTCTTATCAGACTTACCAAAGTCTTAGCACTGGTCTTATCAGGCCTTTCAAAGTCTTGCCACTGGTCTTATCAGATCAGACCTATCTTTAGCTATCTTTAACATCTCTTCTCATTTTTCAAACAGTTTCATCAACTGCTGAAGCAAGCATTTCATCCACGACCATAGCAGCCATTACCGTACCAATCGTCCTTTTTGTGGTAGTAGGACTAGCGTGGTGGTACCGCAGGCTACAAGGAAAATCAAAGTCATGAAAAGGAAAATCAAGTTAGGCATATAGCGGCGGTAATATTTCAATGAATCCATGCATAATTTGATTTCGTTGAGACAGTCAAGAGAACTTGTAGCCTGTGTAAAGATGCACGCTCTCCAAGTTTTTTTTTGAGGGGAGGAGGCGTCTGTACACAAGCTAGAGAACTTAATGCAATCTCCCGCGGTCATTTTTCTTAGAAACGAAAATGAAAATTTTTCTTTCAACTTCCGGTAATTAAATCTTTCAAGTCAACTTTCAAGTAGATTTTTGCTTAATTAATGCGAAGATAAATTCGAAAGAGAAAAGTAGACTATGCTTATTACATCTGAACTCACTGCACAAACATTTGAACTCGAAAGAAAACTTTGAAAAATTGCTGCAGATATCTTTAATTACATGTAACATGCTTTTAGGAATATCTACTTCTTTAAAATTACTGCTAGCAGAATAAAGAAGTCTATAAATCGACAGTTTTTTCGATTTATGTAATTGTTCGTTGTCTCCTTTTTTTCTCTTTTTCATTTCACTCTTGGAGCACTGAACTCGTTGACTGCACGTTGCGTCCGTGGAAAGGCCAGCGCTGTGAAGGTCTTGTTCATCTATACTGACTGGCGTTGCTCTGATATCGCATGGTAGCCTAGGAAACTGGAACTCACCACGTCGTGTCTGATTTCAATCGACTCTTCGTATTGAACAGGGACTTTCATCCCTCTCTCAAATACCGACCCTCTCTCTTGCCTCTTAGTCTTGTTCTATTTTAGCTTAACCCTTTGTTGTTGTTTTAACGCTTTGTCGTAGTTTTAACTGATTATTAAAAATGTCATTTTACCACCCATAATACCAGTTGAATTAACTTATTTCAAGAGTTGTTTCAACCACTAATATCTGTCATTGAAATTTCGGTTTGGAGCGTGTAATCTGTTATTGAAATAGTCGAAATAATAAAGTTTGTTTATCTTACGTCATCACTGAATGAGCTACTTCAGTTTTATGAATTGCTAGATGATCGCATTTTCCCCCTGATTTTTACATTATTTTTGTCTTGTTTCGGAATCTTGTCGGTTGAACTAAGTTAGGTAACTTATCCAACTTCAGCACTTCAATTGACAAACATGAGACCACAAACAGGAAACAGAGAAAAACAAAGATGAAAGGAGTTGAACGAACTAAAGTACATATGCACGACTGAATGATTTTGGTCGTTTACACTAATCAGAATAGTCAGTTATCACAACCAACCTCAATGGTTAAAACCACGTATTATGCCAGGTTATTTCAACAATTTTCTTTCGCTGAAAATTTCGACTGTTAAGAATGGTTACAATGACTATTGTTATTAGTTACAACCATTTAAAATAGTCACTTTAACTAGTCGAATTTTACAGTGTAATTTGCAGGCCCGTCCTGTCACTGGGGAGACAATACGTTTTGCTATTCTGCACGTTCTTTCAATTTTTGCATAGCCTGCGTAACATGGCGGTTGGCGCAGTTTCCTCGCATGCAGTTTCACCGCCCTCGCCCTTCTTGGCTCGTGCGCGCGCCCGACCAAAACTGCCATGCTCCCCCGGCTAATTTTTGCATTTAGTTGTAAACGTGCGGCTTAGCTAGGGTTCCTGAAGCCTCCTCATAATTATTAACCATTATTGCTAGGTTCGTAAACCAAACTGCTCTATTTATAGCAGCCTTTCTGTTTTGGCCAAATAGGCTCAGAAAAATCTTAAGCTTAAGTGCCGTTCTATGTAGAAAACAGCCATTCGGTATGGTGGCCCACAACTGTCACGGCAAAAACAAAATACCTCACGGCAAAACCAAAAACATCACGGCAAAAACAAAATACCTCACGGCAAAACCAAATACTTCACAGCAAAAGCAAAATAGCTTTGGTTTTGCCGTGGCTATTTGCTTTTGCCGTGAGGTATTTGGTTTTTGCTGTAAAGTATTTCGTTTAGCCGTGACGTATTTGTTTTTGCCGTGAGGTTTTTGGTTTTGCCGTGACAGTTGTGGGCCACCGTACATTCGAGATTATAAAAACATCGATTTAAGAAAGTTGAAAATCTGACATTTTTCCATGGTTTTGGTCAAAAATTTGCAAATTTCTTCATCCTTTCTTTTTTGGCCAATTACAAAAAATGGGCTCAGAAAAAGTGTTAAGTGCCGTTATAGATAGAAAACAAACTACTCAAGACTATAGAAACATCAGTTTAAGAACTGAGTGGAAAATCTGACATTATTCTAAAGGGTTTTATAGTCCACGGCTTTGTTCAAAAATTTGAAATTTCTTCATCCTTTCTTTTTTGGCCAAATAGGCTCAGAAAAGGTGCCGTTTACACGTTCGTATTTTTAACGAGTTTTTTAGCTCTTTGACGTAACGTGTTAAAATAATTGATTGATTGATTGATTGATTGATTGTTTGACTGATTGATTGATTGATTGATTGATTGATAGATAGATAGATAGATAGATAGATAGATAGATAGATAGATAGATAGATAGAAAACAAGCCATTTTAGACTATAAAAAGAAAGTCGAAGATCTGACATTTTTCCAAAGGTGTTAGTCCATAGCCTGCGGGGAGCAGACACTTTTTTCGACTCTTGTTTCGCTCCCCGAGTTCTTTTCCGGAGGGAAAGAAGCGACGACCTGAACACGTCTGCGGTTCGAAGGCTCAGGGGCACCCAACTAGAATATTGTTCAAAACCACATAAACGTAGCATTGTTAAGCGTAGTTTAGTATTTAAATGGTAGACATAGGCATATTTTCATCCCCTAAAGATCAAATGGTAAATGATTTAATTTAAGGCATGGTGTTATATAACACATTTTAGTAAAATCCAACTAGTGGTCTATTATCAATGCTGCTTTCTGATTGGTTGAGCTACAACTAGTAGGCTATAAGTTATAGCCCACTAGTAGCAAAAAGCTACTAAAACAATTATTATTTCTCTCGCCCTCATGGCCTCTGAGTTAATAGCCCATGAGGCCGAAGGCCGAATGGGCTATTGACTCAGAGCCCATTCGGGCTCGAGGAATATTTATTGTTAAGTAGCATCTCCTGTGTGCACTTTGTTTTTGCTTTGTTATGAAACCAGATTTTACCATCTTGGAAGGCAATTTGGTACTAGTAGGGAAACAAGTTATCTTGAGAGTAGTTGCATAAACCACCTTTAAACCACTGTACCTCATAAATGCACATTTTAAGGTGGAACTCTGAAAATGTGCACTCCAGCCCCCGCGCGTTTTCTTATTTTTGAACGACTTTTCACATTCACCACCATCTCAGAGCCTGGAACAGGCTAGGTAGATGTTAAAAACGAGAAAAACCATGGTTTCCTGGCAGGCGTTTGCCTCCCTCCTTCCTCGCGCGCCCCTCGCGTTTCTCTTGCGCCTAAAACTCCCTTTCCCAAAGCTCCCATTCCCTTCCCTTTCAAACGCCTGCCACGCAGGCTATTTCGGTTATTATTCCCGTATATATAGGTGAGTGACCCCTCGCCCCTAAATACAGCTTTTTTGCATCATGGAATGCCCCTATATTGGCAAGTGAATGTGTTTCTATTTGATGGGGCAGTCTACAAATAGCATATTTCTATAGTAAGGAAAGACTTATCACATGCTAGGAAAAGAATTGCAACAGGTTGAAGCTTTTCCCATGGGGACCATGGGAGTCATTGTTTCTGTAGTTCCAGCAGAGGCTCATTTAGATAATCATTCGCTGTAGATGTAAGGCTAATGACTCCACAAAATAATTTTGTGTTTGTTTCAAATTGACTTCCAAATCTGACGACCTGAAATGACCTGTACCCTCCCCACAAAAATCGGCCCTTTCAAAGTGGGAGTGGGACACACAATGACTTCTGGGTGGGCTGTCCACCATTTTGTCTTTTTTTGATGGGGAAAGCCCATTATATTCCATAATTGGGTGCCACAGGCTGCCCAATAATTAACTCTATCTCATCCCAAATAATGTTTCTGCAAAGTCAACTTGATGAAAATGTTAATTTTTATCAATATGGACCATGCTCTACAGGAAGCAGTTAAAGCTCATATTGGTTGTGGCAAAAATGGGAAAGAGCACAAACTTTTGTTTTAAAAAAATTGTCTGAAAGACTTTAAAGCCATGTGGGCATTGCAATGCTCTTCAGCCATCCATTTAGCTTCTGTTAATTCCTTCTCTAATGATTTTCTAATTTCCTTTTGCTCTTTACTTTACCTTTGATACTATTTTCAGGTAATACAGAGGTGTACTGGCACACAGGTATGGAATGACAGTTTGGGTATTGAACTTGGCTTTAACTTTCAACAATTATTATTGTTCCTTTGAAAAGCTATGTTGAGCACTTCACAAGAAGGTGAAACAAGAAGGGAAGTGGAACCAAACTGCGTCCTACACTTGTTTCTGAAATTGTTACTGGAGATGCGCCAGTCACCTATTGGCCAATTTTTCTCCCTGTCACTAGTAACTGAGTCCCAGAAGTCTTAACTGAATGCGGTTTCCTTTTCGTTACTAAAGGTGGGTCATGTAGCAGCTGCTCAGAAGCTGAAAGCCCATTGGTATGATACCCCAAACCAGAAAACAATGGTAAACAATGAATTACCATTGTCTTAGCCTGCGTAGCTGGCGGTATTGTGTGGGTGCGAGATTAAAGTTTTGGCGGCGGAGCTGTGTTCCAAAAAAAAGGAGTAGGGACGAGGCGGTTGAAATACCGCCTGCCAGAAAACCCCGGTATTTTGAATGGTCCGCACACCAGTGTGCGGGGAAACGGATTGGTCGAGGGCCGTACATATGTCAATCATGTTAGATGAGCCTTCGCGTATATTTCCCAATTTAGGGAGCAGATGGCAAACTGGAGAAGACGTACATGTAAAGTGATTGTGATTTCCGCTTTAGAAAGAGCATAATTGATGACCAAATTGCCGAAATGGCGTCTTTAAACTTCACAGCGCTGGAATTGTCTTAATTTAGCCGTA